AGCCGACCACAGCAAGAGAGAACTTTTACAATCAGATCCTTTCTTCGTATGCACGCATAAGCTGAGCTATGGGGTTCTATATAAGGATTTCTCACAATTCTTTCGTGCTTTTTTTTCTTCACTCAAGGGAGTGGAAAAACGTACATCTGGTTCGCTTGCTGAGGCAAAAGTTAGAAAGGATTCCAGTGATGAAGCGCTCATTGGCATGACAGAAAAGTGCGACAATCCTGCTACAGTAACTCTTACTTATAAGTAGAAGAACTTCTGCTCGGGAAAAATCTAATGACTCATCTATTCCGATATTTTGATATACCACTTAATACTATAGTGCAGAAGTGCCGTTTAAATCGCAATGCCTCGTTCAGGTTTAATCACCTTTAGTTTTGTGGTGGGTCTTACGATTACTCGAGTCGGGAAACTAGCACAGCCGCTAGCCGACTTTTTTATGGCTTTGGAAACTGTTGTCACGAGGATTCTGCGGTTGATCCTATGGTAGGTTTCAGTCAATGTCGACGAATCGAAATCGTTTACTTGAGGTTCGGAATTATCGGTATCCCTTCACTGATCGCCCATGAGGTACTCAATGTGGATGATCTCTTAGCAACTGCTCAGTCAGTAGCTATGTTTATATTAACAGTTACAACTGGTAGGTTTATTAGCTTTTGCTTGTACCGAACATGTCTGACCTGCTGGTCCCACAAGTCACTGTATAGATCAAATCGTATTCGAAAGCCACTACGAATAGAACTGAACACTGTAGAGCACATTGCCAACACAAGTGTGCCACCACTCTCAACCCTTCCACTTTTGATAGCTTCGCGCTTGAAATACATGTGCTTATCTTGTTAAAAGCAACAGTTTCACGGTCTGGCCATTCACTTGTTCATCACTATTCCACTCATCTTCTTCGCAGGCACTCGTCAAAATCCGTACAAATTTCTTCGAGGTCTCACTCAAGCTGCTCTCACAGGCTTTGGAACATCCTCCAGGTTCCGTTTGACACTTGCCTCATTGAGTAGTTTTTATTCTGACTGTAACATAATTTTCAACCTGTTTTCAATTGCCTATCAAGCTGGAAACATCCGTCTTCAAATTTTACAGTCGGTCTGATGCTACTGGACCTCCTACGCAGAATTTGTGCAACCGGACATTTAACTTGCTTTACGCTAAATCACACTTACACGTGCCTCACCGGGTCTAACTGCGCACCCTCCTCCAATCAAAAAGTGCGGTCTTCGGACAGGCCAAACGTCCAATATTTAAAAGCCAATCTTCTCGCTTTTCGCTGCTTTAACTCGCCCCTTTCGTATTTCAACTTTTTACGCAGTAAGTGAGACCCAGCCACCCTGATGTCCTCTCCTTTCGGAAAGAAAAAAAACATAAATCCTGGCTCCAGACATTTTTTGGCAGAATTGAACAGGCCATGACTTTGAAGTTCTGATCAAGCCAATTTTTTAAGCAGACTTGTTTTTCTACGAGGCAGCTCGGCTTACAAATTTGTTTCTAGGGGGCTATTGACCGTCTTGAACATGGTACACTGACCTCTTGAACATGAATATGACATCCGCTCAGCCCCATACTCGTCATAGGCGCCGGGGCTCGAATATAACTATCACCAAATTCGCTAAAATGTCTCCTATGGCACTTTGACCTCCTGAGCATGAATTTCACATCTGCTTGGCCCGAAACCTCCAGGCACCCGCGCTACAGGGCCAGCACCAAATACCCCAAATCATCGAATTCGCTGGAGACTTGTTCCCAGTGAGTAGCTTGACCAACACGAATATAAATTTCTAGAGAGTGTCAACTTGGTCTGGCATCTAGGAAAGGGAGGGGGGGCATGTGATAACGCAGTTTGCTGCGCACGTCTGTATCGTTCGCCTGGGATAGCGCTCTTTCTCCCGGAGCTGAGCCTGTCCTGGAGGAAACCACTTCATTTCCCAAGCTCAGCTTTAGCAGAAGGCTAAATGGCGCCAGTGCCAAAACAGCGGTGATATTCTTGATCATGGTGTCAATCAACCCCCCGTATACAAGCTTTCAACTATTTCGATGAGTAAGATGGTGGCGTCAAATTGGAGCTTCTCGTGACCCGGGTTCCGAGCTAACACTACACTCAAAAAATCATCAAAAAACTTTTCAGTTTTTGGATTACAAATTACTCAATAGTGCCGTTTTTCCAATATTTCAATGCCTGGGCAGCCGCAGTCCTTTATTTCTTTGCGCTTTGCCCTTTGGCGACGAGACCTCACGAAAGTTTTAGTTGTCACCTAACCCAGAAGTCCACGAGAACGGGACTGGAGTCTAATGCTGAGTGCGTTCCGCGGGACCTTGATATCGACGTAAGCACTGCATATTGAGTATTGCGCGGCCGGAGACGGCACCTGGGTGTCACTACCCTCCAAGCCCTTTTCCATGAGCTTTTGCAACTTCTGAAAGTGCTGCAGCTGCGCACTTACTCATTTCGCACATGACATGGACAGGAATCTACGGTGGTAAATGCACAGCTTATCTTTGAAGCAAACATGATAACCTGAACTTGAGTTGCTTTGTCGACTGCTCCTTCCCGATGCGAAAACTCACAAACATATCAAAATGAGGGCAAAACGTTTTGCCTGCATTGACAGCCTATTGCCAGGAAAGCGTTTGGAAGTTGACGCCCCTTCAGAGCTGGTTGAACTCTGTTCCGAAAATTGACACTCGGGGAAAATTTTAGCGAAATCGTGCAAACGTAAGAAAGGAACACATCGAGGAAATACAGGTGTGCAAGAATCGCACAATCGATGAATAAAAGTTCAGCGGCAATTCATCGATGAGTGTGGGCGTTGTTGCAGAGTTTGATTGAGCTTATTGCGCTGCAACGTTGCCGTGACGTTTCGCTGTCTCCAAGCTGACTGTACAAAGTTTGACGAAGTCGAGTGAGCAAAAATTTATGCTGCCAAAGAGGCACCACGTTTAATAATGGTACGTGTAGGCCACTTACAATACATATTCAGCGGCACGGATGATACGCCTTGTGTGGGACGATTACAAGGGAACCAGCGAAGTCAGAGAGATACACGAGAACTGAAGAAATAATCGAATGAACAGTCCCCAGTAACATACTGCGGAAAAAAAACTAGAAAAAAACAGTTGCTCAAAAATAACTAGGGTGTTCAGAAATCAGCGGAAGGCTCAAAGTTAACCGCTGAACTCTAATTTCGAAGCAACATTTTTTTGTTTTTTTCTAATTTGCTCCACTTAGTAACACAGTACGCGTCTAACTATGTTGTGAAAAGTCCTGCGACACTTTGACCAAATTTTTCGAACTAAATTTCTGGTCAGTAAAGGACATCTCCAATCTACAAGGTAACCGCAGTTGATGACTAGGACTAGTGCCTTTCTTTTGCACAGCTTCTCATTTCCATTCTCATAGAACTACGGCAACTATGATAAAAAGAAGAGGTGGACCTCATTCTCGAGTTGAGGTCGATTTTCGGAATTTTTGCTTTCTAAAAGGATGCGATAGGGACCAAAGGAGGTGATAATTAGAGGCTGCTAACTTTGTTAAATAAACCTGGTAGGTAGCATTCTCCGATAGAATCCATGATCTTTTGGCGTAGCCTGAACCCCACATGCGGTCCTCGCATTACCGAGTAGTAGAGAAAAATTGAGTATTTCTGAATGAATTCAAGCGGGTGACGTCATCCATATTTTGAAGTCGATTAAGGTGGACTGTGATCCTTACAACGGTGCTAGTATCCAGTGATATTCGGCTTGGAAGTGTCCACCCATAACACACTGAAAATCTTTCACTCCCCATGCACAATCCTGCATTTGGCTAAGCAATCTACTTACTGCTTGAGAGATCCTTGCGAGGGACAGACATGTGCATGATGTACGCAAGGACTGCACCACTCGCTACCGACCACAAGATCTCACAAAAGTTCCTACGCTGTGTACAAGGAAAAGAAAACTCAGTCACGGTCATTCGGTATGACTTGTCAGACCGGGTCCAACTCATGAGGCATCCCTTTCACAAAAAAATTTTCCAATAACCGAGATTGAGGAGAAGCATGGCAGTTGGCCAGTCAGATGGAGCCTAGAGAGGTCGCCCGTTCGGCTGCGCCTCAAGAAGCTTGAGTGAAGGGTCGTCATTCTGTGCTGATAAGCGACCTGTACATTGGCCCCAATTTCTACGGAGTTTGAATAAGTTCAGGCTTAAAAGCGCCTGAATGGCAAAAGCACCTCTGGGGCCCATGGCAAGCGATATCCTTCCTCAAGACAACGTAGGTGTCAGCTTCCTTGACTACGGCGAAGTGGCCCTACAGGAACTCATAATATGGGACAGGTCGAAAAGTACCTCGATCTCTGGGGGACTTTTAAGCTTTGAAAACTTCCTCAAAGTCATGATATACCCATGTACAGAAACCCCAGAGGACAGTCTCCACTAATCAGGGATAAAAACATCCAAAATGATTTTTGGTCTTTTTCTAGAACAATTCAATCAAAGTGTCGCAGGACTTTTCGAACAACCTAATAGAACATAGCAGGCAATGAATAGGAAACTGCCGGTGACTCTGTTCAAAACTCAGGACTTCTGATCGAATGAATGTTAGATGCCAGTCTTGAAGCCTTCTTGATCGACGTGTGAAAGTGGGTTAGAAAGTGGAGCATGCGGTAATATACTGGAGCGAGACTACAGTTCTGGTCATAAGTTGAATACGAAATACGAGTGAATGCGTGCAGGCATGATGTTGAAAAAAGCTCTGAAAACAGACTGGGCCCCCACTCTTGTGGATACGAATCACCGCCATGTTCCAGGTGAATGGGTGGCGACCGCTCAGCTGTCACGGATGTGGGCTATAAGGGCACTGTAAACGCAGACACATAGGAACAGCGGCTGCGAAAGCATCCGTAATCGAAAAATATATGGAGAACCAGGATATAGGCTTTTTTGATGGGGGGGGGGACACTAGTGTGAGTAGACAAAGCTAACCATTTGTTGAAGCTGGAATGTGTAAAGGGTGTAAAGGTGTAACATTGACCATAGAATGCCACACAAATGAGGGTGGGTATAGAAGAACGGAAGGTCGACGAATGGGCTCGATTTGCCAGCAACCAGCCATGGGAAGTTATACCCGAGTGCCACCCCTCACTCGGCGTGCGTTTCTGCACGGTGGGGCCCACTAATGACCATAGCCAAAGTGCTGCTTGTCAGCTGCTTCTCATTACGCGTGTGAGTGGTCTCTCACGATGTGAGCTGAATGGCTCGTTTACCATCCTTTGGAACTCAGAAACTTAGTCTTCTTTAAGATTCAGCCGGGGGCCATTCTTGGCCACTACCTTCTGCCATTTTTGCACCTACCCCTGAAGTTCTTCTCTGCTCTCCGGTATCAGGGCAATGTCATCGGCGTAGAGGATGTTCTTGAGTTGGCCCGACCATGAGTTCCCTTTGCCAATGGACACCAGGGTTAGTAGGAAGAGGGAGGGGCTAAAGAGTTGACCTTGGTGTATCCCCCACCCTTGTAAAGCTGCGTTTATACTTTGCGGCAGCGTAGCGCTTCCAGCGTACGCCAGGAGCAGTGCCGGGAAGAGAATGGATATAGATCTAGCGTTCCCAGCGTCACCAGCGTTTCACCAGCATTTTGCTGGCGTTTGCAGGGGAGTAGAGACTATGTGGCCGTAAGAGACGCGCAATCGATGTGTAGACTATGTGGCTGTCAGAGACGCGCAATCGATGTGTATGTGGGAGACGCAATGTGGCCGTCAAGATGCGCATCGATGTGTAATGGTAGATGACTAGGTGGCACGTCAGAGAACGCGCATCGATGTGTATCAGTAGACCGATGTGGCCGTCAAAGACCGTCGCATATCTGAATGTATAGTTGTAGAGACTGAGGGCGAGTGAGAGACGCCGCAATCATGGTGATTTTGTACCTCTCACAGCACTGACATATGCTCTTCTCCCTGCCGTTGCAGAACGCCTAAGCAGCACGGAACGAGTGCTGGTTGAAACGCGTTGAACACGCTGGCGTAACGCTAGCGTTATGCTGGTACGCTGGACGCTAGATCGATATCGCCGTCATCGTGCGCCGTAACTGCGCGGCTAGCGTACCTGGAAAGGCGCTTAAACGCTACGCTCCCGCAAAGTATAAACGCAGCCTAAGGCGTGCAGGGTGCGCACAGCCGCACCTGCTCCATCGTACGTTTCCTCCACCAGGGAGATGAGGTGCTCGGGAACATTCCGTTCTCTGAGAACCCTCCAGAGTAGGGTAGCGGTAAGCGATCGACCTTCTCGAGATCCAGGAAGGCTAGGTAGCAAGGTCGCCGCTTCTCTCGGTACTTCTCCATCAGCTGTCTGGCGATGAAGATGGCATCGTGGTGGACCTTTCGGGCATGAAGCCGAACTGCTCCTGCAAGATGAGAACGAGGTCCCTCAGCCTGGTGCTGACTATCACGTACAGCTTCATGGTATGTGCGATCAGTCTCATGCCTCGGTAGTTGGAGCAGTCCGTCGCGTCTCCTTCTGCCTGAAGATGGGTACGATTCTACTGCACCTCCAAGCGTCGACATTCTTCCTTCGCGTGTTATGTTGTTCAAGAAGCGGGTGAGCCAACTTACTCCATTTTCCAAAAACTTTCCAATTCAGTCGGGATCCCATGTGGACGGATCCCATCTGGACCAGTCGCCTGAAGGAAAGAAGAGATACCGTTCTCAAAGCCCGAAATCTTTTACACCTGAGCACTGCATTGCTGTTGATAAAGAAATTTCTGGGCACTTGAACTGGGGGTGAGGGGGAGGGGCTTTCACTTCTGCTACTTCCCATCGACGTGTCGAGCTATCTAGAGAGCTATTTCATGAGCTTACAAGAGTTGACAGGTTTACGTGGTGGCTCGACGAGCTTGCTCCAGCTTCACAAGGGTTCACAGGTTTTACCAGAGTAAGGCTTGTAAAACGGAATTGCGAAAGAAGCAAAAAGAAGCAACGAAAGCGAAAAAGCAAAATGATTTCCCCCCCCCTCGTCGCCGAACCGCGCCGAATGTTCATTTTTCCAGTCAAACAGTTCAGGACGGTGCCGCACTCTACGAGTCCACTGCCTCAATATTCATCGCTCAACTCATTGGAAGACAACTTTCATTCGGTGAACTGATCACAGTCAGGTGAACAAATTCCATTAGTAGATATCTGCTTTGCATACCTCTGATATTTTTTTGATACTGTGCATGGATTACTTGATCTCTTCTATATATTCTTTTTAGCATCACCGCGACCCTCTCTTCAATCGGAGCTGCTGCCATACCGAGCGCTGGTCTCACAACAATGTTAATTGTATTGAATGCACTTCGACTACCTATAGACAACATTTCTCTACTTCTAGCTGTCGACTGGTTCTTGTAAATTTCTTGAGCACTTCAGAAAATACTGAAACCGTTGCAAAGAGACCACTGCATGCTATTGTAGGTCCAGCCTCAGCTCGCCCTCTATTCGCGTATGCACAGCATTCATGACTTCTTCTGGACCTACTGGCCTTACCGTTAGATCTATCTAGGAGCTTGACAATTGTGACTTGTTTGGCGACTTTACCCGAGCCACTACTAGCTCAAACAGACCTTCAAATACCACTACGAATCTGGATGCAAATCTTAGGCTGCGTTCACTTTGCTGCAGCGTCCACCAGCGTACATCAGCGGGGCCGCCAGCAGCGACTACGAGAGTAAAGATATCGATCTAGCGAACGGCATCGTCTATCAGCGTCTGCCAGCGATAATCAACTTCTCAGGGGACTAAGAAAGTATCAGCATCAATCTAGCGTCTACTAGCGTCCACCAGAGTCCAGGAATACGCTATTGAGCGGTTAATCAATGCTGTTGTACACAAAAATCTCACGACGCCTAATTCAACTGTCTCCTCCCTCCCACGTCTCCATACTCACCAGCAGTCTGTTACCCTTCTACTTTCCCTGCTCTTTACTTCTGGTCCTTGGTGGACGCTGGTAGATGCTAGATCGATATCCATACTCTCCTAGTCCCTTGAGAGTTGACAGTACAATGTGGCTTGCTCTCTACTGTATTTTACACATTTTGGTGAATAAGTGGGGCACAGTTAACTCATTAATGTCAAACATCTTCGAAAAACTTCGTCTGTACAGATTAGGCTTATTGCGTTCCGCAACTTATGTCATCGCTTCGCGAGTAGAAAGGGAGGTCTTCGACTATTGCTTGACTTTAAGAAGGCTACACTCTTGTTCGCTGCTGACGCTGATACTTCTGGGTTCAGCGCGACGCCAGTACGTTTCCCATTGATGATAGTCGCTTGAAAGTCTCTCCAATTGGTTGAGAACGAATCGGCGGCGCGCCAAATCCAGCTCCTCTGACGCCCCAGCGTTGGCAGCGAACAGTACTGTGGTTCACAGTAATCTCTTAAAACTGATAATGCCTGCAGGGACCGTCTTCGTACATGTGTCAATCTCCTCGGCGATGCTTTTGGTTGTGGACTGGTATACCATCTCAGCCGAAAAGAGCTGGATGAGCTGTCAATGGAGAAGGATGCTGTTAATGACAAACATATTCCTTCGGATTTTGAAGTGAGTAATTAGAAACAAGAACTTCATATACTGATACCAGTTCCAGTACCCTTGCAATCTCCGTGTCTCCCCCTCAACTTGTGCTGCGATTCTCCGCATGTAGTTGCCTCCGTTCACATGCAGGCTTACTAATGCTTGATTAGATGAGCTTGATCCGCAGCGGTACCACTTTCGCGGCGCAAAAGCGAAAGGCTATGGGCCGCCATCCCCTCGTTCATCTCATGGGCCCGTCCCTTTCCAATGGCCCTTTACCCACCCCTATAACAGAAAATCCACCAAGGAACGAGGGCACTGACATCGCTGTATAGAAGAAGCAGGCTCATATCAACTGCGGCGGCTGTATTGCCACAAAACCACTGTTTTTCTCGTTCAATCATATCACTTCGCTCGTTCTCTGCTCGCAGAAACGCGCTCGCTAAGCAAGGGGGATTACATTAGCGACAACTTTTTCTGCTTTTTCTCTATCACTGACTCCCTTAGCATCTTGGCATCCCTATCTGAGTCCCACAGCAAAGAATATCTGATCACTAGCGTTGTCTCTTGATTCAGTGCGGATTCATTGCCAATGTAACAATAGTTACCCTTGCCTCGAATCGCTAAAACTCATCATTTTCAAAGTGCGCTCCTCTCGAATGTATCTCATGGTATTTTCTTAAGTGTTAGGAGCCACCAGTTTTTACCCAGTTCTAATTTTCATTGTCCACCAGTTTAGATAGTGACATATATTATCGCAACCAAAATGTCACCTCCAGTTTGATACCGCAAGATGGATGTGTAGCAGTTCTGCTAGCCGTCAATCCCTCCTCTCTTTACCCAATCACCGTTTCCACATTCGTTGTGTTTTTTTTAAACGTACACTCAATATCACCGCAACTGTCTAGTCGCAGTCAGCGGCTTCTCAGCTGCGGCGCTTCCATCATTGGATATTTCCCTCCTAAATCGATCTTCACCCGATCGCCATTGGTAGAGCAAGGGAGCGCCGAGCGCGACGCGCGAACCGACTGCTCACGCGACCGGTCCGACATTCGCCAAGAGCATGAGGACTGTAATGCTAAGCGTCACTTCGTAGCTGGTTCTTGGAGGACCCTTGCAACAATCAAGAAGGTGCACACCATCTATAGCCCACTAGTTAGTGATTCAATTATGACCGGACTATACAGATGCAGTATCGTAAAGAAGGCATAATTACCGACCAAGACCCGTAATTCTCTCTCAAATGTAAGAAACTTTTGTATAAATTATTCCAGGGGAACAAGAAGATCAAGGCCACGACACTTCTCTCGACTATCACAACAATATCGCCCCATTAAAATCATGAAAAAAAAACTGTCCCCCCTTGACCTTTTTGAGAAAATTTTTTTTGTTTTGTTTTTTGCCGTACAAGTGTGTACCTTTTCTAATGGGTCCCGCAGAGATTCGCTGTTAGTATGCTCGAGAAAATGTGAAAAAATAAACGTCGCAGTTAGTTTTGTTTCTACAGCTTTTTGGAAAGACAGCAATGTTCCTAGCAGAGAAGCACTGGTTTCAGCGGCAGTCCCGCCCACCGAACGGTGTGTCCTTTCAGCTCACATGCTTATTGGCAAGGTGGTAGCTGACCAAAAGGCGGGAGAAAAAGGAACCCTTCTCAAATGCAACAGATATAGCCCTACGCCTATCTCCATTTGTGCGAGCATACAGCCAAGAGATGGCATGCTTGGTGGAATTCTCCCATGTAGATATCATAGCAATATCAGCTGTTATCACTTCACTCTCACTATTTGAAATTGAAAGTGTTACTAGCGGGGAAGCCTAAAGAAAAGAACGGTGGAGTTGTTATAAGAGTTTGAGCGGCGCACTCTTCCGTCACGAGCGTCCAGCGTCATGATAACATGTGTAACCGGAAAGTTATACATCCTCTGAGCTCTCAAGTCGGACCACAGTGCAGCATCCTGATGTGAGAAATGGCACTGTCAGTGCGACAAAATCGTCCAGGTCTTACGGGTGAATTGTGAGAGCGAAAGGAGGGTCGTAACTAGACCTGGATGCGGGGGACGGTTGTACTGATACCGCCACTTATGCATCTCGATATTTTTCCGGCGGGAACTTTCCTGTCTTCTCTCCTTACCTTCCTTCCTCTCCCCCCCCCACGTCACCCTACCATCATTACCATATGTAATCATGGGGAGAAGTTTCCGAGATGTCTCCGAAATTGACGCATTTTGGATACATTGGGTAAAGTCATGCGCCCAACACGATGGCCACGCGGACTCTGGTCGACTGTGCTCTTCCAGGGCTAAGCTTGGGGAAGGAACAGACCACTTGTACACACAGTTTCGTTGTGTACTCAACACATATACATCATCGCCACAGCACGTCCTACGTGGCGGATTCCCAGAGGGGGTTGTATTCGGCCGCTGAAGAGAGAGTATTTGATCTGGTGAAATTATTTCGATAGTCAGTTTTCCCTGTTTTACGAGAGCTATCCACTTTATAAGGAGGACCCCAGCGGGAAAGAGAGGAGTCGTAATCGCCCAGAGAAATTGCTGCGTTTTCGGCTGTGAATTTCCGCGGTTTTTCCAGTTTCTTTAGTGCTATATACCTTTCCCCCCACTCGCGGCGAAGTTTTCGTTCGTAGAGGGATAGTGAGGAGGTCACATTCTCCGAAAATTTCCCCCAGCAGGAGGGCGCGCCCTGATCACCGCTGTGCCACGCGGATTTTATCAGCTTTAGAAATTTGCCTTCACTTTCCTCCATCCTCCAAATCGTAACATGTTAAAACCTTCACTGAACTGATTTATCGATAGATATGGTTGTATACGTTATCATGCTTCGGTACAATTTCTATCTCCTTTATTTATCTGTTTGAAGTGAACGACGTAACAATTTCCTTGTAAAGTAATTCCTTCCAGTAGCAATGGCGATGCATTGGGAGACCTCTATCGTTTTCAACAAAATAACGATTCAGCGGTTGCAAGCAACTGTAAGCAAAACTGATACTGGCTATGAACCCGAATGTGAAATTCAATAGAACTGACATACTACATTGGAAGCAAGTTCTGTGCCAAATTTTATCCCCTGCTTCCACGTATTTCACATCAATGCCATCCAGGCATCCTGAACCACAAAATTCCATTCCATGTAAACGCAGTTATTCTGCGAACTACTTGTATAAAGTCTTTATTCTGTGAACTACTTGTATAAAGTGTATCTCCGCTACTGATTTCCAAAATAATTAGTAACACATAGTTCTGTGGGCATGGTGAAGGGAAGGCACAAGCGCTTCCTAATGCACTTGGTTGAAGCTGCTTGAAGGGCTAACAGGTCCAGTCCAAAAAAATTTCGCTAAATCATAGTTTCACGCCTA